CTCGTGCGCATGTTTAGCTATCTGGGGCTACTTTTAGCGTTAGCCAGGACAACGGCGTGGACGTAGTAGTTTTTTGTTCCCTTTGGGGTGCTTGATTAGTATGAATATTAACACGAGTAATAAAAATACAAGAAATATAATTAAAATAAAAATAAAAATAAAGAAATAAAAAGATAAGAGAACAGAAATAAAATATAAATATAAAATTATTTAATTATTGAAATAAAATAAAATAAAATGTGAATAAAATAGAATCTATACCAATCTTTAAGTAACTAAATTGTGAGAGGGGATTCACGTTTTGAAATACTTGAAAGTAAAAATGCCTTATAATAAGTGCTGGTTATTGAGTATTGGTATATTAACGTCATGATGTAACGGCGAGCTACTGAACAAATAATTCCTAAATAAGTAATCATTAGGATTCCCTATATAATAGCGAAGATATTAAGGGAGACCACAATATATGTATACACTGGCCATAATACTGTCTTCTCCTCTACTATACTATTACGATTAACGAGCAAATGACACTCAGAATTCAATTTCCTTATCAGAAGTGTAACTTCCCTTCCTATATTAATTAGTATTTAGCTAAAAAGTACTAAAATTTATATTTCACTATTTTCGCACAAAATTTTCAGATCACTGTTATTAACGATTTGCTGGAGGACTTGTTGGATTTTGCGTTTACGACTCGCAATGAGTTCTCATCCTAGACAGTCTGCTGTATTATAATATATCGCGCTCAAACCTGCGTCAACAGAGTTAATTGTGCACCATTCTTATTTAAATCTTTATTCCTTTGTACTGGATCTCTGTAATCGCTGCTCACTGTGATCTCGATGTTTGATCTCGATGTCATCGTCACTGTGGTGGTGGAGGTCTTGCTAAGAAATCCTCTGTCCGTCTCCTCATCGTCAAAATCCATTCTAGATGATCCAGCTGCTATCATTTGATCAGGTTGTAATCTATCATCATTAATTTTTCTTCTTGGAAACACGCTATTTTCATTGTTCAGTGTCGCATTAATGTCCTTTCCAGCAGCACAATTACATGCCTTCAGGAAACTCTTTTTAAAATTGTCACTTAAAAAAGCATATAGAATTGGATTCATAGCACTATTGCTATAACTCAGGAAACCAGCTAGCAGAAAACTTGCAATACTAATATTGGTTTGACATTGTTTTGGCGGGGTATATATCAAGGCCACTTGAGTGACCCAATAAGGTAACCAACAGAAGACATATACAACGATAACTGTTAAGACCAGCCTGGAGACCTTTCGATGTGATCGTTTCTTCTCTTTTGATTTGTTCTTTGGACCCACTGTTCGCAGCTTTTTTATCACCAGTAAGTAGAAAACCAGTATAAATATTAAGGGAACGATGAAGCTGAAGATAAGCATGTAAAACGTAAAAGTAGTATGACCACCGTGATCATTAGGCCAATAAATGTTGCAACTGACAACGCCATCTGTGTATTCCATGGTATTTGTATAAAGAAATATCGGTATCATGAAAAGAGCGCTAGTGATCCAGGCAGAAAGCGAAATTATTTTTGAGATGAAAGGCGTACGCATCTTCGGAGATGAAATCGGGTGGCACACAGCAACGTAGCGATCAGCACTCATGATGAGTAGAAAGATGCTGCTGGTAAACTGATTGATACTTGTCGTGATCATATACACTTTGCACATAATATTACCAAAGATCCAGCCACGTAAACTGATCGTTGTTACTAAAAATGGTATACCGATTAGGAAGCACTCGTCCGCGATCGCCAAGTTCACAATGTACATATTTGTGACAGTCTGCATCTTCGCGAAGCGTAGAACAACATAAATGACCAAAGTATTCCCAAGAAGTCCAACAATACAAACGATGGAGTAGAGTATCTGATTAATTATAGCGATAAAAGATAAATTAAGTTCACAGTTTAGGAATTCCGTATCATCGTACGTTAAGTTATCGTAAGTTAAATTGTGTGTGTTATCCATTATATAGAATCTGAAATATATACAAAAACATACAATTACTAAAAGTATGCCATCTCATATAGAAATGCCAGTCGTTTTCAATAGCGCCAATGTTTGGTCCAATATATAACCAACAATTGGCCAATACTTGGTAATCTATTATGAGCCATATCTGGCATGACTGGGTACCATTGATTTTCACTTTGCAGTAGCGCCAATGCTTGTCTCCTTTGATCACAATGGTCTTTTCACGGGCAAAATACAAACAACATACAAACAGGCTGAAAAATCTCATTACATATATTTTAAAGTCTGAAACTTTACCTTCAATAAGTTAGTTTAGCATAGCATAAATGTGAGAAGTCGTTTCGTCAGTTATGACCCAGTTTCCGGTGGTCATTTCCAGTCCATCGTCCTTGACTAATATTTTTATGACCATCTTCTTCGTCGGATGAGCACTGAAAATAAAGATAAAAGTTCTTATGATAAGAGAAAATGAACGCAAATTTAGAACAAAAAATAGAATTGAACTTTTTTCAAAGATTAGATGAAAGAATATCTTTCAAGTCTTAAAGAATTTATCAGTAAAGAACAAAATAGAACATAAAGAAATAATATAATATCAAATGTTTAATAATTTAATATAAAATGTTAAAAACGTACAAAAATATATTGTGCTTAAATTCTGGCTCGAAAAAGAATATCATTATTTTTAAACTCAACAAGTAGGAAATAGAAAATGGCTATGCTTCGACCGTCATGGCCATTTTCTCTCTCCTATTTGTTGAGTTTAAAAATAATTATATTCTTTTTTCTAAGATTATTGAATACTCTGCATACTTATTTTTAAAGATCTCTTATCATATTTGATTTATTTTAGTAAATTTTGGGCAGTTACAATCTAGATACACATGCACACGCACACGCACAGACAATTTCGTTTAATAGTTAAAATTTAGTAAAATTATATGTTTTTTATCTCAAGATTAAAAAAATTAAATAGTAGTTTAGAATAATAATTTTTTATTCTGTATTTTATTTCGAAATATATGTCGTTGAAATTTTGTATAAACCAATCAGGCTGATTGCACCGACATGCATTGAAACTAACCCTAAAAACGTAAAATGCTAGGAAATTGTATCAGCATCTGACGCATGATGAAAGATAACCAGAAATTTAGTCACAATAATGTGACCAAAGAATTCTGATTTATATTTATTCAGAATTCATTTTTGTTTATTCAATAAATTTATTAATATATAATTATTATAATTATTACAATATAGTTATATATTCTATCAAATATTCTAGTCAAAATAACCAGAAATTCAGTCACAACAACCAGAATTCTGATTTATATTCATTCAGAATTCATTTTGTTTATTTAATTTTTTAATCTTTTATTAATAACATTAAATATGAATTCTAAATAATCGTTATCTAGCAACAAGTTAATGCATAATTCAATATTTTTGCTATAGAACATAGGATGAGATAGTAAAATGGAATGGTCTACTAGACTATAGAGTTCATATTTAATGTTATTAATAAAAGATTGAAGAATTTATTTGTTAACAAATTAAATATTCATAAGAATACAGACAAAAAACTTTTATTAAAAAAAAAAATTTTATGTTGATCCCATCCCAGGTAGCAAATATTCGTTTAAAAAACGTTTCACAAATGTTTCTTTGAAACGTTTCATAACTGGCTCTTGAAAACGTTTCTGATTGGTTAAAATGTCCACTCGAAAAACGTTAAGGAAAACGTTTTCTTCTGATAAAAAAACATTTAAGAAACGATCGAGATACCGCTTAAGAAACGATCAAAATACCATTTTTTTTCCTGTATCTGTGTGATAAAATTTTCTTTCTCACAGAATTACTAAAATAATGTATTCACATGTGTGAATACCAGGGATGGGAAGTAACTCGTTACTTGTAACGAAGTTACAGTTAGAGTTACTTTTTTTCAGTAACTGTAACTT